ATATATATATATATATATATATATATATATATCCATTCAGCTTCTTTTTTCTTCGTTCTTTAATCCTGTCATTCCTTCCTCCTATCAAATCCTTTGTTCGAATGATATTACCCCTATGTTTAAGCTTTTGGTTCACCATTCACGGGCTATTCTCTTAATCAAACGATTCAAACCCTTTTTTTTTTCTTTTTTTTCAGTTTACTTTTTACTAGGTAATCACGATGATGCAGACGTGCAAATGAAATTGTTTTACCAAAGTTTGAATGATACTATATTTTTTAAATTTAGGTTGTTAAGACTATTATTTAATTATTATGAGATTTAAAATTTAAATCAAGCGACATCATATTGAAATTGAAGATACTAAAAGATAGAAGAAATAGGGTTGAAAACTAGATTAAAATAGGTTTTGAGGTATTTAGATTAGCGAAGGATCAAGGTATGAAGGTATATTTGTGTGAAAAAGGTATTATAAACTTTTTAAGATTACGTTAATAAACTTATAATAAATTTAATTAATACTTTTACACTTATTTAAGATGCAAAATAAAATTTCCACCAAATTGAGAGCAAAACTCTGATCAAATCACTTTAAAAGAATTTTTTCGAAAAGAGATACTCCACTATATTTTGCAATTAATTATTTGTATAACCAAATTAATTCACATTATCAATTGTGGGGTTGGAGAAAGAAGCAAAAAGTTTTGGATGTTAACCACTCCACTGCATGCTTATGGTTGGTGGACCTACACACAGCTTATTAATAACTGTCAATTAGCTAGTAGGTGTCCTCGATATAAAATGATGGCTACGACGACGATGATGAAAATTATAATAATTGAACTTCATCATATGCTAAAATGATTGTAAATATAAAAGCAAGGAGAAAATTCACAAATTAGCCAGAAATTCTATGGATTAATGAGAAACAAGTGTTGAGATATAAGCAAGTTGAGAATTCAAATTACACTTATAAACAAATTTCACAAAAAATTTAGTTATAAATTCTGATGAAACGACTGCAAATTAGTTTAAAAATATCTCATTTTCTTCTCAAACCCTCTCTATTAGTCTCAATATCTAAATATTAAACTTTTAATTTAAAGTTTTAAATTTTTTTACATAAATTAAAAATTTTTATTACTTAGAGTAAGAGGTACTTCTCCCATAACCTTATTGTCACATTACAGACAAAGTAGTTTAGCAGACAAATAATTACAATAACTTATTACAAGATCAAACGCAATAATTTCCAAATTAGCTTCCACTAGTTTTCATAATTTAAAGTCTTAATTTTATCAATTGAGATATAATAAGATAATTTTCTTCAAATATATATATTTTTTGTATATCAAAAAAATTAGTTTTTTAATATTATAGAGGTTTGAAGCTTTGATCTTAAAATTAAACAAAAAATTTTTAAATTAGTAAGTATTAATTTAACTAAAGGTTTGCCTAACTTTATTCTTAAGGTACATATTAAAATTGTATTAAATATATCTTTTTGTCGTAAATTTATATTAAAAAAATAAAAATT